AATGATAACCCATTGACGTATGTCATAAATCACTCAGATACAAAAGAACCCGTGCAGTATTCAACAAAAAACGCTACCTGATAAGGCACGGAACCTTTCGCATTTTTCACGCACGGATCGCATCCAACTGAGAGCAATAACTGCAAAATAATCCAACAAATCATTAACACATTCCTCCCACTGCGACAATAATGTTAACTGGAATGATCTTGAAGCAGCTTATATGCGAGATGTTCAATAATCAACTGATTAACTACATAAATAAAATCGCCCTAATAACTGCAAAACAAACATCAAAGCGGAATAATAAATATTCACTTTTAATTTTTGATAAAATCCTAAAAAAACATGTTGAATGTTGACAAAATAGACGAAAACAAACGTACGGGTATGATGTGAAGTGCACCCCTTCCAGCGGCGATATGCAAAAAAGTTGCTGTATTTGGTGGGAATCGTGTCTCTCTGATGTACTTCTCGAAGATCACTCGTCTCTCGTCAGATGCACTCAGAATCGCACTCAACTGCTCCTCTGAATCCGACCGAACAGCCATATAGACCGACTGCATTTCGGCTTTTGTCAACTCATCGTGCTTTTCTTCTCCATCTTCTTTTCCTTTACCACTCACTTCCCACTCAACATTCTAAATTTTCTCCAAACTATCAAAAATAAAAACATCCAATTTGTGGATCCTTTATTTGGTCCAAATTCACTTTCAGCTGCTCAAAGAAAACAATTCGAAGCGTCAGTCTCATCCCAATACAAAATGACAATAAATGAATGAACCGACGATGGGAACTTATGATTTTGAAAGAAAAAANNNNATTAAATCTTTAAAGAACACTTCCGAAGGATTTACTGAAAACAACACAAACAAACAAAAAAAACCAACATCAGAATACCTGTGACTGTGAAGCATTTTGAGCAGCTTTATGACTTTCGATAATCTTCAAAATATTATCGTCGCCTTTATTGTTGAATGGTTCGTTGCTCCGTTCTCCGTCATCAGATGATATTTCATTTAGACTCAAATTCTTGGTTGTTTTCAACTTCTTTCGTAATATTCGTCGTTTCTTTTTGCGTTGTTTATTTCGCTCCAACAATTCCTTTCGAAATTCCTCAACACTTCCATAACAGTAAACATTCTCTGAAAAGTTAATAACCAATCCCGATTGAACGCATTCAATTTTCATGATATGACTGACTATCAATAACTGAAAAAAAAGAGATTAATTGCTATTTTGGATGAGAACATTACTTTGACTCGTACAAAGTCAATGATGAGAAATCAATAGAAGGAGTACAAAAATTAGAATGTGCTCTATACGAAGCAAACCTTACGAATGCTCATATAAAATGCAGTTATTTCTGAGAAGGGATAATAATGAACGTTGATGTAATGAAACATAATCGCCAAATAATTCAGCCAAAGACCTCGATTTCCAGATAGAATCAAACAAATCAACAAATACAGATAGATAAGCTCTCGGTAAACTCACTCAATTGTGTCCAAGTACGTTCCATTTCCTGTTGCGATGGTCGTCGAGTTTCGAATGGAATCGACCGAAGTCTTGGATCGTTTCGCAAGAACGGTGTCCTCTCAAGACTATCGCTCAAGAAAATTGGCCTTCAAATAATCTAGTTTCCACCTATTAAAAAAGGAAACCCCCAATGCAACGTCCCGAACGGATAAATAACATCTCAAAAGCTGATGAATCTAAATTGCAAATTCAAATTTCACACTTATCCAATATGCTGAATGAGTTTCATGAACAAATAGCAATTGGGAATAACAATAAAATGAATAAAACAAACCTATGGTAACTTGAGCATCGAATAAAAATCAATGACAATGTTTTGATTTCATCGTTCCACTTAGCGATAACCTCTTGAATATCTTCTTTCAACATTTTTTCATTATACCTGAAATTGAGATCAACTCAAAATTATGTACAACACATGCGTGTGGAAGAAACAACTCGTTGTCGAATACAACCTTGAGAAAACATATCAAAACAACGAACGCTCATATATGGATTCTAGCATCTCCTCTCAATTAACACACCTTCTCAACGTTGCACCAGCACTCTTCGCCTTCTTGCCACCCTTTGAATCCGCTCCACTCTGTGTTCCACCTTGTTTAGCACGAACCGTGTATCGATGATAACTTTTATGTGCTATCATTTCATTACTGAAACGAAACGAGCATTTTACGACAATTTAAACAATAGAAATTGTCCGAATGTATCCGTAAAATTTATGCTAAACTCCTCACAATTTCAATCAACCAAACAAACAAAATTCAAGCAATTCCTTCAATCAATCTCAGATGAATACTGCTACTTCTATTGCATTCATCTAACTGACCGATTTTGGAATATGAATATCGCATGAACAAACTTTTTGAAGATTCCACCAGTAAAATGTCCACCGGCAACCATAAAAATAGCACAGTCCAATGGTTTTCGAAAGAATTCGCTAGACAGGCTTTCATCGTTCGCTAAAATCGCGTTGTAAATCGAGAACACTTCCGACTCATGAACGAAGTATTCGTGAACACCGCACGTCAACAACTGCTCATTGTCGTCCTCGCTCATCGACTCGATATCACTGAGTTCTTCTGTAGATTGATGCTGATATTATCACTGATCACAAAATAAGAAAACGACCAAATAGAATGGCCATGCCGCTCACCTTCGTCAGAAATCAGCTGTTCGAATTCCTCTTCACTTAGAATCGGTCGTCCTTGAAGCGTTCGACTCAAGTTATGCTTATGCCAATCGGATCGATAATGCGATATCAATGATAATCGATCTGATTCGATCGATACATCACACACTGAACACTTGATCATTTCATCATCTAAAAATAACAAACCTTTTTAATTATTTTCCTTTATTCATTAGGAAAATCTAATTTCATTGCATTCACGAAAATCAAATTTCATTTGTTCTTAGGGAAATACTTCATTTTAAAAAATTCCACTCACATTCACACACTAATCTCTCAATCAATGACAATGCACTATGCACTCATCACCAAGCAATGCCAAATTCTAATTAAAAATTTGAAAATTTCAATGAAACAAATGAAACGTATAAATTAAATTGCGATTTTCTCCGTAAGGAATGGAAGAGATTTTCCAAAAATAATCGAAAAAATTAAAAAATTACATCCGCAAGTTAACCACCTTTGCGCTCGTCGTTTTGCTGCTTCGGCGTTGCTGACGGTGCTAAATCGTTTCCACTTGCAGCGAATGTTGGTGATTTCGATGGGATTTTCAGTTCCTTTAAACTCAACAAGTCCACTCCACCGCTACGCCAACGGCTATCGTTGATTGTTAAGCCTGTTTCAGGTT